TTGTCTGCTCTCTTGAATGTGCCCGATCCAGGCCTATTGGGAGGATACGGTGTCGGGGGAGGTGGATTGGATATCATGGACAGTCCAAATCCCCTTACCAGTCTTGCTGTCGCCGTGGCTGCAGCAGGAATATCGGGGCTCATGCTGGCCCCTCTTGACATGGTCCGCACGCGGTGAGTCGAACCAGCGTCAACAACACCAGAGCCATGCGCTAACATCTTTTCCAGATTAATCGCAACGCCCGCCAACTATGCCCCACGAGCTATCCTTCCAAACCTCCGGAATCTCCCCTCTCTGACTGTTCCCCCTGCACTCTTCCCAATTACGCTTCTCCACTCAACGCTACCAACCCTCCTCTCCGCCTCGACACCACTAGTCCTGCGCTCATCTGCAAGAATCGACCCCGTCCTCACACCCGCAACCTACTCGCTGTGCACCTTCCTCTCCTCCGCCACCGAGCTCTTCGTCAAGCTGCCACTTGAAACGGTGCTGCGCCGCGGCCAGCTCGCGACCCTCTCCGCCCACGCCCGGGCTCAGCGTCTCCCCCGGCATCCCGACGAGCTTCCTCGATCTCGCAGCCCGGCTAAGAGCCGCAGCCCCGCCAAACGCAGAGATGCCGATCCGGACGATGAGCCGCTCCCTACCGTCGTCAATGTCGGCCCCTACCGCGGCATCCTCGGCACCATGTGGTCGATTGCGCGCGAGGAGGGCGGCACCGCCGTGCCTGCGCGGACACCGGCTGTAGAACGCGTTGCCGCAGGTCGACCAACTGCCGCGGCGCAGCAGCAGCGCACGCAAAAAGGCCAAGGCGTACAAGGGCTGGTGAGGGGATGGCGCGTGGGATTCTGGGGGCTCGTGGGCGTGTGGGGAGCAGCGATGCTGGGAGGAGGCGGGGGCGAGTTTTGATCGATTAGACTTGCATGCATGCAATACGATGTAAAGAAAACGGACGAGCAAGCGAACAAGCAAGCGTCATATTTATTTGTTACGAGCTGGACTGGGCTGCACTGCACTGGATGAATTGAAATAGGTGGATGGGTGGGTGGGTTGGTCGGACTCTTTTCTCTCTGTTTCTGTGTTGTTTTGTTGTAAAGATACGGCAACGACTGCTCAAGTGAAGCCAAGGCACACGGCGGGAAGAAAGAGACGCACATTTTTTGCTGCGGCTTGCAATTTGTTCTGCTTGGGTTGATACCACTCCTCTCCTCTCCTCTCCTTTCTCATCTATCTCCTTCTCTAACTCTCCTCTTGTTTCTCTGCCTCCACGTCACTGCTTGCATCTGTCTGTCTGTCTTTCTGTCTCTCGGCACGGTTCAGCTCGACGCGGTGCGGCGCGGCGCGGTACAGCTTGTGGGCAGTATCGGAGGCTCTCAACTAAAGGGCTCGCCGGCCGGCCCGCCTGTCTTTCTGTCTGCTGTGCTCGTGGATGGTCTGTGAATTCGAGGCCATGAGGTGCGTAGGCACCTAGCTAGTTTGCGAGGCAGCACAATAGATGGACGGGCAGGCAGGCGTCGTTGGAAAGTTGTTCGATCAGTCGATCGGTGGGTTGCTTGTGGTGTAGCTGGATGTGGCGTCTGTGTGCAGATAGAAATGTCTGCTTCGCTGCCGGTTTGTCTGATTCCTCCTTGGACTGCTAGGTGTTTTGTTGCTTACTTCGCCGACTGCGCATCTATGTCGAATTGGCCGCATGGTTTGGTAGAGTTCTTCCTCTCGTACACTTACGACCAGTCCCCTTCCTGCTACTGCTCCTATACTTTTTCCTGATAGAGTAGGCAAGACAGTAGTCAAATCTGTCGCAATTTCTCAGCAGATCAACTCGTCCGCAAAGCAAAGGGCCGTACCCTGATCCCACCTACCCCCATTCCCCTCATTTTATCATGAAGTATCAATGCAATCGCGATGCCGTTGTGTCGTACATTGCGCAGTTCCATTTTTCGGCACGAGTACTGTCGAGCAGCGACAGGATTGACAGTCTCCGTGTCTTTTGGCGGCGAATCTGTCCCGTGGCTGGAGTGAGGGGTCAGTGAGAAGCGTTGTTTGGGCGGAATGAGGACTGGTGGTGTGTATCGAAACATTCTGATGATGGTTTTCTCTTTCTGCCTTCTAAAGAAGGGATGAGAGAGGTGGGTTCAGGATGATTTTTGAATGAGTAGTTCATGATTGCTTCGACTGTGACTTGTAACTTGTAAAATGTTGCCTTATTATATCATCACTGTGCAGAACGACACCGTTAAGAGAAAGTGGAATATCCTGCTAACTGTGAGGCTTGACTCTGCTGCGCAAATCGGAGCATCAGGTATTCTTTTCTTCTCTTTTCTGCGCGTTCTAATTTCATCTTTTTTCCATTACTTTTGGATTCTTCTTTTTGGATTCCTGCACGCTCCATCTCTTTCACTGGCAGTTTCAATGCCTAGGTATGCCAGAGGTCTACATCTTAGAAGGGAGAAAGACGGTGCCTCATCAGCGCTGTAATTGCGCAATATTTGTGTATTCCGCACTTCACTCTTCCTTCTCGCAACATCTGTTCCTTTCAATTCACCGAAACCCATCATTTTCTCCTCGCCCAGCTCCACCCCCCATCTCCGCCACGCCCACAGCCAAGACCATCTCTCGCTCAGTTACAATCCACAACCACCAACACCCACTGCGCCCACGCGCCAGACCAACACGCTTAGTAATTCTGACATGACAGCAGACCCGCGCATGCGCATCTCGCAAACGCAAACGAAAGTCAAGCCGACGTGCCTTCCCACCGCCCGCGCTTGGGGTCTCTCAGCACGCACGCGGCGATCCGCTCCAGTCGCGTCGCCGTCTCTCCTATCACATGCGCGCGCCCGCCGCGGCGGAAGCTCAGACGCAACGTTCGTAGCTTTGCCAATCAAGCCCCGCCGCCGCCGTGACGCGCCTCCGCTGTAGTTTCTGCACCAAGCGTGCTGTACTTACTGAGAGAACGCAGGCAGGGGGCTGCCAGCCGGACAAAACTTGCCTACTTGGTGGACTGATGGATGATTGCTCGGAGTTAATTTGCTGCGCTTGGCCGCCTGCGTGCGTGCTTGGCTACGAGAATAGCATGGCATGGCGCGTTGCAGCGTGGTGTCATCTTGCGGGCATTGAAGTTGGCGATGCCACGCCCCGTCGGTGGAAGGGTCGTGCTTGCATCGGTGCGCACTCGTTTACTTGCTGCTGGCAGGGAGGTGCCGTTGTTTGCAAAGGAACAATACTAATGAGGAGTTTTGTGATAGTGGGAAGGCAGTGAGACTTGGGGGCGGTCGAGGCGCGACTTTCTGAGGTACAACGAGCTGGCCGCTTCGAAGCCTATTGCATCTTTTCGACCCTGTCGGCGTTAAGGACACAGAAGAGCTCATATTAAGGGTTATTTAAAGCAAACATCGCCGCCCCGCCCTCTGTCGCATTCCTCGATAATCGCTGTGTATTCCAGTATCGCCATTACTAACGCCAACCAAACCCACGCAACATCAACGCCTTCGGATCACTGCATCCGTTCAATAGCAACACCGATGCCACACTTTAAGCTTACCACTGCCGATCACCCGGCAGTCAAAATACGGCAAGTGCAGAGGGAGCAGAGTGCCGTTGGATGTGCCGGTGGTGGCGCGAAGCAGCAAACTGTATACTTCGCTTGCGGCGGCAAGGTTTCGGGCCGGGACCCTCAAGTGTACCTTGATTTTTGGAGCTTGCAGTTGGCGTTGGGAGCAGTAGCATCGTGCTAGCTTTCCAATGCGAGGAATTGGATGGGCAGCGGGTGTCCGGACTGAGCAGCACCTGGTCGTCGCGTAGTGGGAACTGCGTCTTGTTGTCTTCTTGGGGGGTTGGTGGGGAGAATGCTTAGCGGAGGGTCTTGAGAAACATTCCTTGCGCATGGATCATGGTTTGGAGGACGTCGCGGCGCAAAGAAGTGGCATGATTTCACACATCTTGTGGATTTGGGAATTGACCCTTGGTCTCGAAGCCGCGATGTGTACAAGAAAGACCGAGTCCTCTAAGGCATTGAAGATCGGGAGCATTAGACCACCTTCTCAAGGGGACTGCATTTGTTGGCTTCTTCCGCCAAATGTGTCTTTGCAGTAGTGCTGCTTGGACGTATTTCCTGTGAATGGTCAGACTGAGGGCGAATCAGGATAGTGGTATAGATATTCCGCACCAGAAGCGAGTTTCAGAAGCAATTTGGACTGTCCTGGGCCACCGCCACATCGTAACTGTCCGATGATTGACTTTGCAGTTCCAAATCGATGCTTCTATGTGATCGAGTCAACCAAGACAATTCTGAGACGCAAACCTTTAGTCTGCGATTACTGATGTACACGTAACAATGTACCAGTCATTGCGGCGGCGCGTGGAGCTACCGACTCGAGGGGTAGCTTCAAAGTATGGCTGCGAGTATCTAAAAAGTGTTGCGAAAGTAAAGAGAAACGTGGCCAGGGGGCGTTAACATTGGTACAAACTCTGTTCTGGGCGTCGTGGTTAGTTCCTGACTTGCTAAGAGCGGAAGCGGGGGTAAGCTTGACAATGCAAAGGACGGATCCAGGGGTAAGTTATCCAGGGGTGACGAGAAATCGCATGACAAAATGTCAGCCCACGCATTGGAACTGTTGTGAATGACGGTCGATGGAAAGACGGATGTGGTTGTGAGGCCTTGTCAGCTGAAAATTTTCCCTCGTAATCTTACACTTTTCAAGCTTCTCGGCATCTTGACGCTCATTCGACGTCCAAGAGGTCGCCCGAGGTGTCGTCCAACAGCGCCAATGTTTCAATTGGACTGTATCCAGATCATCACGCGAACGACTTCTGTTCCTTTGTGTAGCCCGATTTGCATCAGCGTGTTCAGCAAAGCAGTAGAAGACCTGTGCCTTTTCCCAAATTTGGGTAAAATGCTCGTCACGGGAGCACGCGATGGCGAGGTCTGCCGAGATGGCAGTTGGCCCGAGACATGGTTTTGTTGGCAGGATTAAAGCACACAGTCAGATTCGCCTCCAATAACATCCGTTGTGGTCTAGTGGCTAGGATTTGCCGCTCTCACTAAGAGAGTCTCTCTCACTTCAAGCTGATGGTCTCAAGCCGATTCCACAGCTGAAAGCAAGTGCCGGCAAGGCCCGGGTTCAATTCCCGGCGACGGAAGATCTTCTTTTGCTCATTTGAAGAGTGATGATGATGCGACGACGCTGTTGTGGTGTTGCATCAAATTTTTTTTTGTACGTGGACCGGAAGGACGGTCAGAGAGCGAGCACGGCGCCACCACGGAACGGACCGTGCAATCAGCAACAGCCGCAGCTGGCCGCCACAAGTTTGACTAATGAGACGGCGCGAACCCGGAGCTGGCTGTCTATAAGAGCTGGAATGTGCCTCGGATGCAAAAGTAGGTGACGGATGAGCAGATGTGGTTTGAATGTTGCGTAGACAGCCAACTTTTTAAGTCTGCAATGGTGTCCGAGTGGCGTGTGCTCGCGCGGCTGATGTGGCACTTGATTCCCGGCATGCCGTTTATATAGACCTCGGGAGCTCCTCTGAGATGCGTGATTTTGGCTTTCTCCCGCTATATTGCTGATTTGACGTCTCTACGTAAAATGTTAACTTACTTCGACTACCACATCTCAACAACACGCCTCGGACGGCCCGGAGACTGAACCCTTGGAAATGTCGCCAAACCCCCGGAATATGGTCATGCTTTTCATGCATCCAGGCAGTTGAACAAGGAAGTGACCAAGGCTGTCTCAAACCCCAAACTCGTCCGATCAAATGGGGAAGCTCTTGAGAGACGAACCTGGTTGAACCACGCCAACTACCGGAGCCGGAGAGGTGCAGGTTGCCACCAAGGAGCTGCCTTCAACAGTCGACACACCGGAATGACTGGGCCCGTCATGAACCTCGAAATATCTGCGAGACCGCAACAAAAGGGAGCGAAGCTAAGCCCGAGCGAACGACGAGGACACACGTGGAACCGAGCGCGATGGGTCGCGAGAGCGGTGGATCCTGTCCGCTCCGCTGCGGAGACTGCTGGGCGGGCAAAAGGAACCCATCTTATCCATCTTATCTTCTCTAAAACACCACGGGAATATGAGCTGGATATGCATAATGACCCCCTTGAATGCACCAGGAAACAAGCATTCGACAACGGGTGGACCCACTCTTTCTTTTTGCATTGCTCGCTTGGGGATACCTCCGTTCGTCCAGGGACATCGGCAAGCCAGCTGAGTTGTTTCATCCAGAGCCTGCGTGCATGCAGGCCGGCACAGTAGTTTGTGGACACCAGCAGCGCGAAGCGAGAGCGCTCCATATCTTCATCACTTGTTTGACTCGGGACGAAAATTGACCGGCTCCAAGACGTCCGAGTTCACGTTCTGACGCTCGATCTGCCCTATGGCTTCCCTTACGGGCCGAGCGAGATCGCAACGACAGAGGCTGAGTCAGCTCCGCTGGCAGCACTCTCTACTGTCCAGCTTCCCGGTGTGCTGGAATAGACGACGGTATCTGGGAAGAAACGTCATGTCTGCGCCGCTGGCACGTCCCGTGGGCCAATGCCTGCTAGGTTCCTCTTGCAGTCGGCCGACCATCGCTCCAGCGTTTTTGCCTCGAGTGGAGCGCAACCCAGGAGTTTGCCAATGTCTGTCTTAAAGGTCTTCTTATCGTGTCTTTCTGCTAGTCCTCCAGCGGATTCCATCACCACTGGGTCCATTCTCAAGTCTTTCCGGCCATGTCATCGTCCTTGTCTAAGACGTTTAGCGCCATCGAGGCAGGCTCGCTCAGAGGCTGCGAGAACGAAGAGATGACACGATCCCAGTCGACCTCGCTGAGGGGAGGCTGTGAAGAGGAAGAGAAGAGGGGATACGATTCGGCTTCCCTAAGAGGATACGGTAACGAAGAAAGAGGATTCGATTCGACCTCCATCAGAGGGTACGATCAAGAGGAAAGGACGCACTCAATGAGCATATCTGAGCGCCTAAAACACTTTACTTGGGTCAGTCTTCAACACCAGCCTGCGACTTGTCAGATCTGCTAATGTCAACAGGCCTGGTACACGTGCACCATGTCAACCGGCGGCATCGCCATTCTCCTCTCTCCTCGAATCCAGCCACACACCTTCAGAGGCCTCGAAACGATTGGCAAGGTCTTACTCATCTGGGATCTCTTCTTGATCGTCGTCATCTCAGCACTCATAACGTACCGTTTCATCAGATACCCAGGAACCTTTCTCAACTCAATCAGGCGGCCTCCGGAGACAATCTTCTTCGCCGCCTTCTTCCTCACCTGCTCCAACGTCCTGAGCTGTATGATCCACTACGGCGCCGCGTCCTGCGGTCCGTGGCTCCTGCATACATTCCGCGTCTGCTTCTGGATATACTTTGTCTTGACCTTTTGCTCCGCCGTCGGTCACTACATGATTCTCTTCACCAACCCGGAACTCAAGATCGAGGATATGACGCCGGCGTGGGACTTTCCCATCTTCCCCTTCATGATCAGCGGCACGGTAGCCTGCACAGGTGCCGCCGAGTTTGCTCCCGCGGACGCCATGCCCATGATCGTGGCCGGGCTCACGGCGCAGGGCCTGGGCCTGCTCGTCAGCATCTTCATGTACGCGTGCTACATCCACCGCATGGTGCAGTACGGACTGCCGTCGCTGGCGACTCGACCTGCCATGTTCATCGCCGTCGGACCGCCGAGTTTCACCAGTCTCGTCATCATCAACATGGCCAACGCGTACCCGTCGTACTATGAGTACTTTGGCAACGACGCGGCGACGATGCAGATAATGCGGGTCGGCGCCACCATGGTGTCGGTCTTTGTGTGGAGCCTGTCATGCTGGTTCTTCTTCATCAGCCTGATCAGCTGCACCATCCACTGGCGCTCCATGGTCTTCAAACTCAACTGGTGGTCCTTCATCTTCCCCAACGTCGGCTTTACCCTTGGCACCATCTACATCGGGCGGTCGCTGAACAGCGAGGGCATCAAGTGGGTCGGCAGCATGATGACCGTCCTCCTTGTCTGCGCCTACATCTTCGTCTTTGTTAGCATGGTCCGCGCCATCATCAAAAAGGCGATCTTGTGGCCAGGACAGGATGAAGACACGTACGCTGAGGAGGCGCACGACAAGGAAGACGCGCGGTCTTTGATGCAAGCTCGCACCAACGAGGCATAGGATCGGGCCATGCTCGAATCTTTGATGATCAGGCGCTTTTTTTGCTTTTTTTTTTTTTTCTGTCTTTGGAGTTCGAGATAAGCTTCCGCTAAAGGTTGGCCGGCAGCATGGACACAGGGGGCAAAGAATAAGGGGCTCTACAGCAGAGATGATAATATCCAGACTTTGCCCGTTTCCGCTGGCGGTACTCAATCGGGAGCGATGCACAAGGCTATCGGACGGCGTTGCAGACGACATGGCACACCGATTGCTGGATAGACTTCCGCGGAAATCATGAATGGCGTTGTCAAGGGCATGAACGGTAGAGAAAATTGAAGTACTTGACCAACTGCAACCCTGCGCCAGACTTGCAGTCCAGTGAAACTCCAGAGCGGCCAGAAAAGGACTACGTGACGAGCGACGGACATGTGGTGTTGCCCTGTTCGCCGTCGCTCTGCCTCATTCCTACAGTATCTTCAAAGACAGTTAGCCTTTCGCATCATGTCCGCTGCATGGTGGATGACTTCTTGGGCAGACACACAGATAACCTTAGGTGCTTTCGGATGGGTGGCTATCGAGGCGATGCAGGGCCAGCGTTGCTTTTACGATCATTACGCACTCGACCGTTTCGCGATCCGTTCTGGCCACCGTGTATGTTCTTTTTCGCAGGAAGCAATCGCTGTTGCAGTGGTAGGCAAGGTCCACGCGGCACAGTGCGACTCATGAGACATGCGTGCTGACTATTTGTGGTCGAGAAGAGGCCATGAAGATGCAGAGCAACCAGGATTGCTGCCGTGGGGTCGGTCTGCTTCGTCCTGCACTGCCTCCTGGTATACATGCAGATTTTCCCTCAGATCCACTTCGAAATGCGAAGATGCGACGCTATCAGGGGCCGAATCTAGGGCCGGGAGGCTGAAGGGTTAGCCACCAAGGCTCTACACAGTGAGATGTCGCCGCTTCACAGCACGACGGCGAGCCGCATCGTTCAGCTACGGGAGTGTCTCACAGAGGTGTTCCCTCGCAAGAGATGGCGCCGCGGCCTCGAGGGCTGAGCAGACGGGGATCGTCCTAGACAGTTCGGCTAGCGCTGCGTCTAATGAAGGGTTCCTGGTCCCGCTCTCTCCTTGAGCTCGGCGCGTGGGGTCAAGGAAAGCGGAACGCCTGTCTTCCACTGAGCGGCCTCCGCCGGATAGACTGTCGCTCACCGGTCGGCGATTGAGCGACTGCGTGCAGAGCTCCCCTGTCCCCTGCCCGCATCATCACATTCTTGGCGTGGTGTTGAACTCTGGGTGTCAAACTGCACGACTGTCGTGTGCAACGTAATGTCCGTCCGAATTTTTCTGCCTGCATCGCAACTCGCGTCCGCCACTTCCCATTTGTTTGCCCGCGGCGATCTGAGTCTCGCATCCGACTGCAGTCGAATACCGGTGCTCTGGGTTGAACCAAGGCTGTTGCTGAATTGTCCCCATGGCGTGCCAAATCCAGTGGTTCAAGGTCGTCGTGGCCTTCGTATTTGCCTTTGTTGACGATGCGATTAGTCAGTTCCCACGTCTTGAAATTTTTGGGCGTGATACTCGCCAGGTGGTGGTCAGCCATTTTCGGAACAATGGACGCGACTTCTTGCACATGTCAAGGTACTTTTGGCAGTAGGGGCCAAACGCCCCCCAGTGATGAAACAGGCGCTTTGGAGATCACCAAAGTTACTTGTGGGTAAGTTACTTGTGGGTACTTTACTCGAGGCACTTGGACGGCATTTCCGCCCCATTCCACAAGAGACTTTGTCAGAAGAGCTTATCCCATCATCGCCGGCAGCGTCCCAGACCTCATCTCTTGCAAAGTACCGGCACACCGCGCAGATGGCAATTGTTAGACAAGGTGAGGTGCGATGGTACAAGGATGCCTCATTTTTGCCAAGTCTATTGCCATCTACTCATCTCCTGTAGATGACGACGCTGAACCGCTTGAAAGCGGCGGTTGCGAACGGACAGGCAGAGTGGGCTGTGGT